ATGTTGTGGAGGCACTAAGGACGCAGCAGGGCGTCCTCCTAACTCCGAAGCTGCATCAAACACGGTTTGCCAATCTTCCCTTGGTAGGGTGGACTCATCATGCATAGCAGTCGAAGGCATTCCTTCTGCTTTGCGCGCGGTCTTGCCACGTCCTTCACCTGGTGGGGGCTCTTCGGGGGATCGCTTCTGCACCCGGAGACTAGAGCTAGGAGAGGCTAGTCCCAGAGAGGTCTTAAACCTTTTTCGGGTCAGGGGCACTTCACTATCGGCAACCAATGCACCTGTATCCTGTTTAGACAGTACAGAAGCGACATGACGCGCAAAGCCAGAGCAGTAGGTGCCGGCAAAAGTCGAAACTGGCGCGCTTCCCAGCTCCCGGAGCTTCCCCTGAATTCTCTGATGTGTATGACATCCATTGCACTGCTTTTGCACCAGGCTACGGACTAAGACAGGTGATGTGCTCAAGATTCTTGTTGTTTTTCGGATGGGCTTTTGACTTAGAGGAGTCTTCAGGCCAAACATGCACATGTCTACATGGATTTGCGAGGTACAAGAGCGTATGACGTCAAGGCTTTCGTTCTGTAATATTTGGGGGCTCGGAATTACTTCTAAGTGAAAATCCCTTCCCTGCTTACGTTGCCATTCACAGATACTGGCACACAGCTTCCAGTGCACCTGGTCTTGACGCCTCTGTTGGGTGAGGCTTTCCCGCTGCTTAGGGCTACGGGCTGAGTTCAAGTGGGACCATGGACTCCAGTGCTTGCAGTCGGGAGCACACCACACGTGACGCGGCTGCGTCTTTTGCAACACATCCCACAGGACTCGTTGACCCTGAGGAGTAGTCAGATCCCCATCCTGCGCAGTGAAGCGCATGGCGTGGCCTCCCATGCTGTTTACCCATGTGGTTAGTCGACTATCAGAACCAGCATAAATCTCTAAGACATCCAATGGTGGCTCGATGGACTGACCGTATGTCAACAGGGAGTCTTGATAGACACTCCAGGCGGCTTCTTCAGCTTTGCGGTAAGCACTCAGACAGGCTGCAGTGGCATCTGAAGCCAGGTTTGTCAGCTGGGAACTACCTAAGAGGTGCTCGGATGCCTCTAGCTCCATTCTCAGAGGAGACTTCAGGCTCGAAATTTCACACGAAGAAAGCGCGGGCTGTGGGACTTCGGTCTCAGGCAGGACAAACCCATGCTCACGCAACCATGCCCGATCGGAGGCCTCCAGCTTCCAGATAGGCTTCACAGCATAACTGATGGCAAGGGACCGGTTCCCCTTCCACGGCATGGTAGCATGCCATCGGTGAGGGTCCACATACATCTTGGATCTGAGTGCCTGAAGGGAACCGTCGAGTTTGCGAGACCCGCACATCAGTGAAAAACTCCTTTGATTGGTCCGAGGCGGTTGAGCGATCCAGATCTCCCCGCCAGCACTCGGATATTCTAGCGGGATTACGAGGTTCTGCACATGCTGAGAATTGAAGCTGTCTTTATGTGGGAGGGATCGGGTGTTTCGGGAAATGGTGATGGAGGTAAACGAGTGTTCGGGATCCATAGCACGGCTGACTTGTGTGAGAACTTGAGTTAGTCGCGGAAATTCCTGCGATACCTTGGTGATCCCTACTTTTCCTCCATGCACAAACATCCCGAACACAATATACGCTGAAGGTTTCCTATCTTGTGGTCCGACAAACTCCATACTACCCCGAACCTTCTCATATCCATGCCTAAGACGGTCCCATGGTACAGAACGTAGAAACCGCTTAAGTTCATCTATGGAGGCATGTCGTGCAAGCAGGTTCTGGGCTGAATCTTCAAGGCTTGAAAGCTCCGGGGATTGCGCAGAAAGAATCTGCGAAAGCTCACGCTGGCAGGAGTCTATCTCGCTCAGGAGCTGCGGACTACGGTATTGAGATCCTGGATGGCCCCCAGGACCTGATGCATCATGCTTTCCATCTGGCTCATTCGGGTGGCCAGAGCGGTCACCTGATGGTCGATTGGGGGATCGAGATCGTCGGTGGACACGACATCCCAGGCTTCGGGAATCGCATCGGTGGAAGCGGCGGCGCGGGATGCTGAGCTCTTGACAGCGGCCTTGGGACGGGCACGATTCGCCGGAGGCTCTGGAACCTCCAAAGACTCCAGAAGTGAATCTTCCACGGCTTCGGCCTGACTCACATAGCGTTCCACGAAAGTCAGAAAGTTGAGGTGGCACTGCTTTGAGCTCTTGCTCATGTGTTCGACGATCCACTTGGTCCACTGGACCTCGTTTTCGGCAACATCCATGTAGGTTCGTCCCTTCATGGACTTTCCGAAATCTATGGTCACAGCTTGCCAAGCTCCTCGACTGGCATGGTGCGAATCTCCTCCGGAGTGTAACGCAGCTGTGGATTGTTCATCCGGGCGTAACGCTCTCCCAGGCTGGTGTTCTGGGCCATTGGGAGAGGGACTCAACGGAGGGGCTGACGAAAGCGGGAGTGCTTGCTTGGGCTCAGGAGTTGCTGCAAGAACATGTTTATGCACGGCTTCACGACTCGGTGAGGCTTGTGGGCGTTGTGCCATACGTGATTTCCACGAGAGCACAGGAACATTATCGGACCCCATACTTTTATGGAATCGGCTAAAACTTGAATTCGGAGAACCTGAAGCTACATGATCCTTTGTACGATTATCACTGGTAAAGGAACAAACCTCAGGGCTCGGGGAAACATGCAGGAGAGGGTCTGCGCGCTGTGAGCTGTCCTCTGCTTCTTCACACACGATCTGGCAGGACTGCTCTCTGTCACTTTCAACGCACAGCTGGGCAAGATCGATCATGTAGAGCCCGGTTGGCCCTGTCTGCAAACTAAGGCACTTGTCTAGGCGATGCAGGTGGTGGCACTGATCATTGCGGGTGTCTATGACGGCATGTAGTTGTTTCAATGCTCGCTTGCTGAACAGGAGTGGGGTTCCACCTGGCACGACTTCAATCCCGAGCCAAAGGGTCTGTGCTTGGGCTGTCCTGAAGGGGAGTAGGAGTCTTTGTTCACTAAGAAGAGTCTGATTATTCCCGAACCTGAACCGAACCTCACTCTTAAGTACCCTTACCTTCTTATGGACAGCCTCATCCAACTGGCTCAAGAACCCAGAAACAAGGCGCTTTCCCATAACACAGCGGCTAGCCCCTGTATCCAAAATGGCTTCTATGGGACCATTGCTGTGGAGTGCCATCGTGGCATCCGGCAAAACCTCGGCCGGTGACTCGTGAGGGCCTTGGTTCAGCTTCCTGGCAGCAGGATCAGTCGAGGACGCTTCCCCACTGCTGAGCTGCCTGTCACGTCGGGCACTTGGGTTGGGGCGAGAGGCACGAAGGTTCTCAACTACTTGCATCAACCGTCGCTGAATAATCCCTTTATTCTGACTACATGAAGCAAAGTGTGCCTCCTCCAGGGACAACGCTCCCTCGGGGAGGTCTGCACAGACCTCTGCGATCGGATCCTTGGAATCATCGGTGGATGCCAAGGCGGGCTCTGCAACCTGGGCCACCGTGGTGGTGGCAGTCTCGCCCCTTCCAGCCTGAAGCCCTTGCTTTCCGAACTTTGGACACTCAGCTTTCCAGTGCCCTTTCTCTCCGCAGGCTCTGCAATGGCTTCGGCTAATCCTGGCAAGAAGTTGCTCGCGGGCATTCTTGCCCTTGCCTTTTCCACCCTTAGTGCTTCGGCCTCCCTTCGAGCCTTTGGCGCCAGAGCCGATTGGCCAAAATCCTCGGAAACGCTTCTTGGCCAAAAGTCTGCCACGGGCCTCAAGGTAACTCACCAGGGCCTCCTGAAGCTCCGGCGTCTCCTGAAAGAAGCCCTCCAACTCATCCTCGAAGGCCTGCACCTGCATGGCGTCCTGGTCCTCCGCCATGACAAGGGCGTCCAAGAACTCGGAGTCCAGCTCGCCGTCGCCATCCTCTGGAGCGGCTGTCACAGCCGCCTGATAGGCGCGCTCGGGCTCCTCGCCGATGTTCTCATCCACGTGATTGGCATCATAGGTCTTAGTTTTTCCACTGCGCTGGCCCTGCAGGTCAGTGAAAAACCTTGGCCCAAGGAGCCTGATGGCTGTGCAAACCTTCTGGTACTCCAGTTTGCCATTCATCTCCACAACAATCCGCTTCCTGTCATCAGACGACAGCTGGGATTGCCTCAGGAGAATGTAGGCCCGGACCTCGCTGAGGGTTACTCCAGCTGCCAACAGCTCCTCAAAGTGGATATCATGCCGAGCCAGATAGCTATCATTGGTCTCATCGGCCTTCTGCGTCGTTCCATAAATCGCCTTCTCGAAGCTGTCGTACTTCTCCTCAAGGGCCGTCTTGCCCCAGGAACCACCCAAGGTGGCCACCAGGAGTTTGACTCCTGAGTCATCGTTGGCCTTAAGCTTTCCGGCATCCAGAGAAGCAATCTTCTTGAACGACGATCCTTCACACATCAACGCCGCACGGGGCGCCAATAATGAAAGATGCTCCTTCGGCCACATGGCCGCCAAAAACTGAAGCTTCTTGCTATACTCTGTCACATCCGTCGTCCCAGGAATGAACTTAGGAATCGCCTGCCATGGCAGCTGAAAGCTGCTGGAAGGCTCCGGCTGGGAAGCCGTTCCTGTCTCTGCCATGATGCGTCGCCCTCAAAATTTCCAGTTCTCTCCCAGAAAGGACCCAGATCAACAGCTTTTCCGCCAGTGGTGGCGAAGCAGGTAGCTCCGCTACCAGTGTGAATTCGAATGAATCCACCCTGGTAGCCAATCGTGCAGCAATGAAAAGCCTGAAGATAGCCCCGCTGTCTCAGAATCCAGTGATGCAGATAAAAGAAAGAGATGAAAAGCCACTGACCCTGTCAGTTCAGTAAAGCACCCTGTGCAAGAAGAGGCGCCTGCCTTTTGCTCCACCGATTGCTCAACGGTCCATGCGTCTCCCCGAGACGTAAGCCCTATGCCCTCCCTCTCCGGACCTCGAGCCCGGATACACAAAGGAGCGAACATGTCCAACAGCCGACATCGAGGATCGAAGTGCCTTCGCGCTGAAGATTTCACAACCCTAAACCCTGCAAAAAGGCCCCCTAAAAGGGACCCTAAGTTTAGAGAACTACCCGCGTGATCCAAGCCTCGCCTCTGTAGCCGGCGGCTCCTCGCCAGGACAATCTTCGGCCTCTTCGGCACTCGGGGCTTCAAAGTCGAAGGTAAAACCATACATTACTATACAGTAACATATGCCATGTCTATACCCATAGGCTCCATTTGTAGTTCCTTTTTGTGGTTCATACTTAGAATCCTATACATAAGGGAATCCCAAAAAAAACTACTAAGGAGCCTATGTCTATAGCATCTCTTTTTGAGCTTGTGCGCGGACGGCCTTGCACCACAGCCCAAAGTCTACTTGGAGGTTCATGGGTAGTTCTACGTGGAGTTATAAGTCTCCTCATATGGGTGGTAAGTATAGTTGCCCTACTTACAACCCCATTTATAACTACCCATCAACCTCCAAGTAGTGCCCACTCTTGACTTTGCCCTAAACTCAGTTACCCATGAAAGGGCTGTGCTCTATCGCGACCTGAGCCCTTTCTCGGCTCTGATGCCTAAACCAAAGCCCTAGCTTATGTGGGCTGACCCCTAAACCTCTCCTAAGATCCTCCCAATTGTAGGCTCCTCACCAGAAGCTACATGTCGAAAGAAGATAGCAACATAGAAACCCCAACAGCGAAGAGGGTTCGTGGATCTGATAGCTTGTTGTTGAGCTTTAAGTTGTCTAAAACGGTTATAAAAAGCTAAACTCTAAACCCATTACGAGCTATAAGCCACCTGTAAATCCAAATATTACACCTTATGAAACAGATGAACCCTAAACCCTGTAAACATCTCTAAACTCTAAATCCTTCCCCTCCAAAAAGGCAAGTACAACCTATAAGCCCCATGAAACCTGGATTATGAAGCCTTTAACTAAACCCTCTAAGCCCTACAGTATGCCCTAATTTGAAGTTCATGGGTAGTTATATATGGGGCTATAAATAGGGTTAACTATACTCATAACCCATATAAGGGATTTATAACCCCACTTATGACTACCCATGAACCCTAAACCCTAAACCCTGAACCCTAAACCCTATAGAACCCCATAGATCCCTTATAGGAACCCCATAGAACCTGAAAGGAACCCTATAGAACCCTGAAAGGAACCCTATAAAACCCCCACCCGCTTCCACCAGGAGGCACCTGGCCACTCGGGCACTCGACGAGTCGGCTGCGCACGCCGCTGCCACAGTCGGCGCTGCATTGGGACCAGGCCCTCAGCGGAGGGGATTAGGGTCTTAGCGTTTTTAGGGTTTAGGGTTTAGTTGGTTTAGGGTTTTAGGGTTTAGGGTCTAGGGTCTAGGGTTTAGGGTTTAGGGTATTAGGGTATTAGGCTTTTGGGGTTTAGGGTTTAAGGTTTAGGGGGATTTTCTGTCTTCCAGGGTTAAAGCTTAGGGGTTAACGATGTACGTGAGGTTCTTTGAGGTTTGGGGTTTTGAGGCATGCTTTGGGGATTAGGTTGCTTTGTTCGGGGCGTGCATCATGAGGGGCAGGAGTTGGTTTTATAAGGTTCAAGGTGTATGGCATGGCTTAGGCTGTAGCAAAGCCTCAAAGCCCTTAGCCCCGAAAAACCCACGATAGGGACCTCAAGACTTACAATAGGATCGCGGGCTGTCTTATAGCAAGACCATGTGCAACTATGAGAAGATGCGCATTCTGAGTATTCCGACACCAAAACTCCTCACAGATCCGAAGAACACACACCACCAGCGCTCCAATGCCGAAAGTGCCCATGCAGTAGTGTACACCTCCCCTTACTTGAGGCCTTAACATTGGAATGTCCATTGTAGTCGCGAAGGGTGCTAGTTGTTGGTATTTAGGTGTTTAAAACTATATCAACTATATACCCTAAACCCTAAACCCCAAACCCTAAACCACTATA